TATTTCCTTAATTAGATTTTTATATCATTATTTATTGAGAAAATAATACCGAAATTTGGAAAATTCGCCGCAGTGAATGAGTAAAATATCATATGCAGACTGCTCCTAATCCCAATTTTTCACAAACTATAACCGAAATCCAATTCTGTCCAGCGAGTTACAGTCTGTTACTTTCTGTCTTTACACATTATTAGCCAAACAAATACTATCACAGTAAAAACGCGACATGCAACCCACAACTCCTTCATACACAAAATCAAAGAAACAAAGAAACAAAATCATTGTTTTTTTGGCCATTAAATTGATTCATAAATGGCGAAATTGAATTTTCGCCACCTTCTCCTCGTAACGGCCGCTGCTGTCGCCCTCCTCCACCTTCCCTCCGCCGCGCCGGACATCTCCTCTGACCGCGACGCCCTGCTCGCCCTCCGCTCCGCCGTAGGGGGACGCCCCCTCTTCTGGGACGCCTCCCTCGCCACCCCCTGCTCCTGGGATGGTGTCACGTGCTCGCCGGGAGGTACCGCTGTCGTGGCCCTCCGCCTTCCGGGAATGGGCCTCTCCGGCCGTCTCCCGCCGGGCACGGTCGCCAACCTGACGAACCTCCGCACGCTCAGCCTGCGCTACAACGCCCTCTCCGGCCCGCTGCCGGCGGACCTCTTCGCTGCCCTCACATCTCTTCGGAGTCTCTACCTGCAGCACAACTCGTTCGCTGGCCAAATCCCGGACTCACTATTCTCCCTCACGTCCCTCGTCCGCGTCAATCTGGGCCACAACAATTTCTCCGGCCCGATTCCGCCGTCCTTCAACAATCTAACCCACCTGTCGGCGCTTCATCTGGAAAACAACCACTTTTCTGGCCCAATTTCGGACCTAAACCTTACCTTGTCTCAATTCAACGTCTCCAACAACAACCTGACCGGCCAAATCCCTGGCGGACTCTCTAATAACCCCCGGAGCTCGTTCGCCGGAAACTCACTTTGCGGGGTCCCACTCGACCCCTGCAGCACAGGAAACAGAAACAAAAGTCTTTCCGGTGGGGCCATAGCCGGAATCGTGATCGGTTCGGTGGCTGGGCTTTTATCACTCTTACTGCTCATAACCTGTTTGCGTAAATGCTTGATAGGAAAAAAGGATGAGAAAAATGTGGAAAAGGAGAAGGAATTCGAAATTCCAGCGACAGAGGGTGGTGGTGGAGAATTCGAAGTTGGTTTTTTCCCGGTTGCTCCGAAGAAAAAGGAGAGAGTTGAGAGTGACGTGATCAGCGGCGGGAAGAAGGATTTGGTTTTCTTGGGGAACACGGGCTGGGATTTTGACCTGGAGGACTTGTTGAAAGCATCGGCCGAGGTATTGGGTAAGGGTGCGTTTGGCACAACATACAAGGCGGTGCTGGAGACGGGCCTGACGGTGGCGGTGAAGAGGCTGAGGGACGTGGTGGCAGAGGAAAGGGAGTTTAGGGAGAAGATGGAGGAGATCGGGAGATTGAGTCACGATAATTTGGTGCCCCTGAGGGCTTATTACTATAACAAGGACGAGAAATTGCTAGTGTACGATTACTTGCCGATGGGGAGCCTGTCAGCATTGTTACATGGTGAGGAAAGAAAAAGAATCTTGAATTTCCATTGAATTGCCTTGATATGATTTATTGCTATAATTTTCTCAATTTTGATTTGCTTGATAATGTGTTTGGATGCTGTGTTGGTTCATTTGGTTTATTGGATTGCCTTGAATATGATGTGAGTCTTCACTGTTGAGGTTGACCAGTTTAGGTTTATTGGATTATTTTTAGAAAATGCATATATATTATTTGAATGTAAATGTATATATGCTACTATTATAGAAAATGCATCTGTATTATTTGAATGTAAAAATTTAGGATATCTGAGATTAGCTATTTTTTTTTTCCTAACTTGTCTTTTAGCTTCTTTCTGCTTTTGCACTGGAAATAAAATATCTGGTGACCAGACAGACTGTAAAGATCTATAATAGCCATTATACCCGATGCATTTCCAATATTGTAATCTGAGGGACCATAAGCTTTGGTTTGTCTCAGTTGAAAGGATTGTGAAATCTTGGTATATAGCCATGCAAGTTCCATCAGCGTTCGTAAATAGGAACCAAATTAGTAAATCATGATCGGTACATTCATTGTAGTATCGCTTTATTTCTATGTTGAAGTCGATAGCAGAACAAAAATCACAGCATTGAAGTCGATAAAGAGCTGATAGTCGATTTCCTTTTTCTTGGCCCAATACATTTCTGTCCAGGAAATAAAGAAGTCGGTCGAACAGCATTGAACTGGGAGACACGAGCCTCAATTGCCCTGCATGCGGCCCGAGGAATCTGTTACATCCACTCACAGGGCCCGTCTCTATCCCATGGCAACATCAAGTCCTCCAACATCCTCCTCACGGGCTCCTACAAGGCCCGTGTCTCAGACGTGGGATTGGGCCAGATTGCAGGCCCCCATCGGGCCAGTGGATATCGGGCCCCCGAGGTGGTTGACCCCTGCAGAGTCTCTCAGAAAGCTGATGTGTACAGCTTTGGGGTCATACTATTGGAGCTGCTGACGGGGAATGAGGAGGTGGTGGAGCTGCCGAGATGGGTGAACTCGACGGTTGATGTTTTTGACCCGGAGCTCATGCGCTATAGTGATGATGTGGGTGAGGATATGGCTCAACTGTTGAAGCTGGCGCTCGACTGCACGGCTCAGCACCCGGATAGTCGGCCGACAATGAATGTTGTGAGTGGGAAGATTGAGGAGCTGTGTAGGATGAGTTTGAGGGAAGATGATGAGAGTGGTGATGATATTATTGTGGGTGTGGATGATGAGGAAGGCAAGGGTTTTGGTATAGGGTCATCACCAATTTAGGTTAAGAGAAGGAAAAGGAAAAAAAAAATAAAAATAAAAAAGATGTGATTGGGAATTTGTGAAAATTTTTACTATACTTTTGAGCATTTTTTTTTTTTTTTT